GCCCACAACCCCCCCCCCCCGGCTGGACAGCTTGTCCCAGCCCCAGCCCCAATCCCTCTCTCCCCTACACCTCTTTCCTCCCCCCCTCCACCCACCACAACTGACTTGCAGCTGGAGGCCAAATCTTTTCCAAATTGATTCAGAGGCTTCCAATTCAATTCTGAGCTTTTAATTGGTTTCCTGATTCAATTTGGATTTGGAGATTCAGTTGCTGAATTGGGCCGAATCTCCCCCAAATCGAATCGACTACCAAAGCTTCACACAGCCCTAGTGTTCACCCCTGTAAGAAGCTACTCACAAAGAAAAGAAAAAAAAGTGTGGTGAATCCCAAATCAGTCCTGTTCCAGTCTGAGATATATAAGGATGAATGACCACAAAAAGTCAAAATGAGACCCACTTCCACTCCTGCTTCTGTTACTTTGTACCTGGAAAGGTTCTTAGAGTATTAAATGCTGCTTAAAGTCAAACTCTAAAAAGAGCTTTTGCTTTAAAATATTTGTACATTTATCAAATACATGGGAACGGTAAGAAATGTGATCAGCACTAGGTGGAAAAGCCCAAGCTCAATCTGTCCTGAAAATTCAGCCCTTCACTGAGCAACCTAAGCAGAAGTATTTTACGTGGTGTAGAGACCACATCATTAAAGCTTCTAGGTCTGCAACATGCAGGATTGGCTTACTGCTCTCATTAAACACAGGAAAAATGCTATTTGTACCCCAGGTTCTGTGAAAGGAACCAATTTAATTTAGGACAGAAGAATAAGAAATTTGAAAGAAATTGTAGGAGTTAACAAAATATGCAATCTAAAAGAACAGAAGATGTAAGGAGACAAAGTGACATTCAAAGTAACAATATGAAGGAAGGTGAGGACTTATTAGTAAAAGAAGCAAAGTCCTGTAGCACAGAAAGCAACGGCAGAAATAGGCTACTCCACCTACAGTACAGTACAGGAGATCAAAGGAGTCCTTAGTCCTGACATCGCCTAAGCCTCTGGTTTAACCAGATCCAGAGTTTCCTAAGTCACCAGCACTGAAGTGAGCAGAATTTGGCCTGCAATGTTAATAACCTATTTCTCTCACTTCTTACCTTTTTTCATTTTGTTTTCACCTGATGCTGCTAACAAAGAAAATTAAACTAGTAAAACTAGACAGGTTCAAATAATGTTGACAGTCTGCCTCATACTCATAAGAGCAAGACTATTTGTAGCTAAGACTTTGGCTCCATAATTTTAAGATTTAAAACAGATTTTAAATCAAAATGACATTGTTACAATGCTTTCACCACATGCTAATGAGTTTCACATTTTTTCTAGAAAAAAATAAAACAGGTGGGATGTGCAGTTTGGTTTTTTTTAAAAAAGGAAGGCTTTAAGTCACAAAAGCCACACATTTTCTGGGACAAAAGTAATTACTAAGCTGGCATAGCTTTGCTGTTCCTTTGCCTTAGCTAGGTTTGATTTCCAATGAGTAGGTAGTAGCAACAGCATTATTTTCACAATTCATTAGCCAACAGATTCACCTGCACAGATAGAAATTGCTTCTTAGCCTCCCAAACTAGATGCATATGGCTCAGTGAGAACATGACAGGTCCCAATACTGCTACACTCAGCAGAACATAAGACCCAAAAATATACACATACTTAATGCGTTGCACAGTGCACAATTCCATTCAATAATCCTATATTTCCTGATTTTACAGTTAAATATATATATAAATCTGAGGCAGTATGGGCCTTAATTTCTATACATCTACAACAGACTTTTCCCCTAGATTTTAGGAAGAGTATGGGAGAAGTTTCTAATAAATAGAAACAAAGAGATGGATTAAATTGGTGCTCAGGATTACTGTCAAAAATAATAATGCTTAGGCCCTGACCCTGTATTCTGAAGGGCATGGGCAGATAGTTGTGCATGTGTAAAGCCATCTTAGCTTTATAAAAACCTGCAAGGGCATAACAAGCTGCCTGCATGTATTAGATTGCAAGATTGGGGCCTGAATTAATACCCATCGTTCTATTCAGAGATCAGCAAATTAATCCTTGCAGCACTCCTGTGATGGAAAATTGGGAAAGTAAGGTTTACCACTGCTATAGCCTCCTTCAGGACAGCTCCAGCACAGCTTAGAGCTTGACTTCACATAAAATTAACTCGAATCCCCATCCACACACAAAAGCATTCCCTTGGGCATGTCTGGTGCTTTAAAGTCAAGTTTACTGGCTTGTCAGGGGTATAGGCTGCTAATTTGACATGCTAGGCCTATCCACATGGTGAACATACCATGTTTGGGAGTGTCCTCAAAAAGTGCATTTTTTTCCCCCAGAATGAATTTTTCATGTAGTCTCAATCAAACAGGAAAATAAATATACATCTCTGAAAATCCCTGGCCACTTTTTAATAGTTAAGGGTTTTATTCTCCTTCAACCAAACACTCTCTAAATTTTCCTTCTCAGTTAATTTCTACTACTACTATATATAACACAATCATACTGAAAATAATAAATTCTCTCAACTCTTATTTTCATCAATTACGTTTCTATAGATGTAGTTTGTGTTTTTTATGATACTGCAGAGAGTCACAAGCAAAGGGGTTTTGCCACACCACACTGAGATTAACAGGGTCATTTCTGTTGACTTGGTTTGATTGTGCATCGGGCCCAAAGTTATGCAAGTGTAAGTGAACAGGCCTATGGAACTCAATAGGGCCACTCACCTGCATGAAGGTAAGTGCACGTGTGTAGGTGTTCACAGAAATCAGGTCAAAGTGATGGAAAATATTTCCTGACTGCACTAACAAAAAGTTACTCAGTTTCTGAGAATCAGGGCATTTCCCTAGCAATATAATTATATGGATTTAAAAAAAAAAATCCCCAAAATAACTCTTGCATTAATTTTCTAGACTTCAAATCAATTTGGGATGGTCCCAAAGGATAATTCCCCCATACCAGGGCATATTCACAAGTATTGTTTGGACATTTTGTATCCATTCTGGTTTGCAAGATTGGTCTGCAAAATTCTCCAAAGGAAGTGGAACCTGAGCTGCTTAGAATAGCTATCATTATACCCTTCCAACAAATATACCAATAGCAATCATTTATGTTCACTAACATCTTAGTAAATTAAATGATGCACAGTATCAACTTCCAATTTCACTTTTAATGTTCCAATCTTTGTCTTTTTTAACAGTCTCTTACACACACAATATTTTTATCTTTACACCTTCTGGTAATAATATACAGCAATAAAGGCATCACAGAAATACATCTAGGAATAGAAAAGTTTATGCCTAGGATTAGATTATATGCCTGCTAGAAAAACAGTAAGCTTTTTAAATGGGACACGTATACCACTAGAAATGTGTGCATTTCTGAACATGGGAAATCTTTCTTCACCCATGAGTAGATCTGCTTCCTTTGTTTTACCTGTCTAAAGACCCAGACTGTGGCCACTCAACCCAAACCTGATTTCAAACATTCACAGAAACTAGAGATGACATTTTATACGTCTCCAACAATGTAGTAAACGCTTTTTTGCAGTTCTGTT